GAGCCATACAGTGCTGTGGTAGTATGAATACATGACCTTATTGATCTCTGCACAACTAACAATGGAAGTACCCTAGACTGGATGTAGTAATTTATGGTACATCTTCAGCCTCGTATTACTATGTAGTATCTTGTAGTACTGAGTCCTGTACCCCATGTGATATGCCGGGGGTACACAATGTGGTATTATTCCCATTCTCAAGCACAATTCTGTATTGAATGCGACTGTTCTCAGCCCACCACGTTCCAAAACTGAGGAGCTTTTCTACCTACCAGGACATGTTCGTAGACAAGGCCTGCTTGGCCTAGGTTTTCTGGAGCTAAATCATCCACTGAGTTCATGGCAACCCCTCCGCATGCCAAGCACAGCCTAAAAGCAAGACAAGAAGTTTCACAAACATTTCACAAATATCTATTATTCATGTTATCGAACACATACTAATCATGACCAACATAATCCAACCGCTTGTGGTCTTCAATCACAACTTCTGTGGCCTTTTTGCTAGGTTGGAACCACAGTCCCTTCAAAATCCTCCCTTTGCCCCATGTGAAAATTGGACACAGCCTACAGTCTCCCAAATCCTCCATTATTTCTGAACCTGATCACTACCCCCGTCCAACCAAATCCTCCGGCAGTAACCGTCAGTGTGTTGAGGCAGCGTGTGATAGCATGGAGCAGAACAGATGATTTCCAGTAAAATCTAAGTCAAGAATTAATTAAGCAGGAACAAAACAATGCCATTGGCACAATGCATCCTTCCAATATGGGCGATTCACAATACAGCATGCCATCAAGAGTTCGCCACAGACAGGCCACTTTTCAAGTTTATGGTCGACACTTTGCAACGTTTAAGCACACTTTGTAATATGGGGATATTTGAGTGATTGAGGCGTTCCCTGCACCACACAAACCGATCATTTTGACTACCTAACACTCATTCGCAACAAACAATTTTGAACTTTCAACCAAGATATACAAACATTCATAAATTCAAATTTCAGTGCACAGCGCAGTTAGCAAATGCGACTTTGTCAACTACTTATCCCATAATGCACTGTAAAAAACGGCCTCCCCTGGACAACCTGTTGGTGGCGCGCACTGCGTCGTGAATCGCCTGTATTCAGCAACACAAGGGAGATCTTGGAGGATTGGGTAGGTTATGGACAATCTACATTTTATTGATCCCTTTTCCAATGGATCTACGCCGCCATACCTTTCCATGTTTCTCCTCTTGGCTCTACGTAAAGCTACAATCCCCTCTTTTGCCAGCATGTCCAGTGACAAGGGGTCAATGCCCTACACAGAAAACAGAGACAAAATATTCAGCCCCTAATGCTGATTAAATGCAAAGAGGTTAAATACAATCATCATGTGACTCATCGGTCATAATGAAGTTTCACAGTGTCAGTGAATTGGTGCAGGACAATTTTATCTATCAATATACTTCGTGTCAGTACACGAGATACGACCTTGTTGCACTGACGTGACATATAGTACATTCCTAGCAAAAAAAGCAAACTCATCAAAGTAGAGTTTTTTCAGGTTTATTTCTATATATGAACTGATTTATTTTTTTTGAACTCACCTTTATGATGTATAAAGGGAAAACAACATTACCATGAAAAGAAACCAAAGAAGTAAAGGCATGATTTTAAGCTTTAGTCATGTATCAGGTTGTTTCCAGGATGGTAAGTCACTGTGGTTAGACACTGCCATCCAACGATGCAAAACACTGACAAGATTACTGTAGCATTGCCTAACGAACAGAGCAAGTCATGACCAAGACTAGCCTGCAGATACCACACAATGCACATCGGAACACTTTCCGGTGGTTGAAAATCTGACTTGTAGCTGCAATTATAAGACCCTGGAGTTAGTTGGCATAGAGGCTTTGCAAACAAGTGATCTATCTGCAGTACCAATGAGTAGCAGAGACATGTCAGTATGGCAGCCAGCCCGTAAGATAGCCGTCGTTACCTTTTGGTTAATGACGACGAATCCTTTGTCATTTCCCTCGCAGACTTTCCTCTTCAGTTCAATGACCTTTCGGACCTTCTCGTCCGTGAATGCCCTCTCTGCCTCCACCAGCTTCTCGCGGTCTTTGGCGGACTTGTAGAAGAATCCTGCATTAACCTCACTGCATGAATGGATAAACAAAATTGAACGAAATATTGAAGTACTTAGAATGAGTAGAACATGGACCAACTAGCTGGAAAAAAGATCCCCCCTACACTCTGAATTAAGGACTTAAAGTTGAATTTAAGTAGAATAAAAAAAATTGTTCTTTTCATGCATCATCAAAAGAGAAAATTCTTGCTAACAGTATTTAAAATATCTGGAATACTCTTTAACCCTAACCGCCAAGTATATTGTTTGGCTTACAGTACTCAGTACTACAAAATACTAAGTAATAGCCTGAGCCTGAAGGACCTAGCGCTACAGATTACTACTTCTGGCTAGGTTACTTCCATTGTTACTTGTACAGAGAACAATAAAGCCATGCATTCATTGTGCCACAACACTGTATGGTACATTGTCTTTTCTATTTTATCTTATGGCTTCAGAGAAAAATAAAGTTACGTCCTCTTACAAGCGGCAGCACTGATTACTACATTTTACTGCAAGTAGTAATTTGTAGTATTATGTAGGGTAAGGGTTAAAAGAGTTTTGGTAAAGAGAACTGATCATGTTCGTTAAATTTGCATGTTTTATGACTCTAAAGGCACGCTGGTGCTTCAACAAATTTGTTATGCGATAAGTTGATCTAACTTCACAACATCGCAATCCTGTTCGCTCACACACTATGCTCTGGCCTTAACAGTTCTGAATCTTAGCAAAATCCCCAGCACATAAACTTGCAGTGACGCCTGCTTTTGCTCTTGCAATGAGCACCAGTCTGTCTTCAAGGATCACACTATTGACCCCCCAAAGAAATTGCAAACACATCCCCACCTCTTCTCATACTCCATGGATACATTACAAGTCAGGATGTAGGCATCGGTGACACGCTTCTTCATGTCTGGGTGGCGGGCTCCATGGTCTAGCACCAAGCCTCGCACCAGCTTGGTGTCCAGGTCCATCTTGTGCTGCATCTGCATGATCTCCACCATGTGAAGGTCAATCTGCTCCTCGGGTTTGCGGATAGCCAGCACAGCATCCACAACAACCTAGGAGGAAAGAGTGGCATCAGAGAAATAAGTGAAACAATCTTTATTCCAAATCTGTATGCGCTAGTTGTAGGAGCCTTCTTACATTCTGCAGAGTCTACCTCTGTGGAGGAAACTGATGTCACATTTATGACACAACCTAATAAAATAAGTTGAAGTCAACACAGCCACTTTTTAGTTAAAAGATCCTTGCAACATGGAAATCTATAGGAATCCTCAACATTTTTCATCAGGATGCCAAACTGAGCGAAATTTCAAAACAAAAGCTCGGGTCGTTCTTCCTTTCTAAAACAGTAAAAAAATCTCAATCCATTACTGAACATTTCGCCTCAAGACCCATTGTGTGGGATCTGGTCACTATTTTACTTCAAACCTTCTAGAGGCATCAAATCTCATGTGAAATGACAGTAGATTGGCTCAGTCTTCTTCAATCCTGCAAAATCTTCCCACATCTCTCACAAAATTTTGACGAGACGTGGGAAGGTCAAGGGCAAAGGCTAACCTACAACACAGAGGTATACACAGCTCTTCCTTCAGTTGATGGACTCACCTCAGTCAATAGATCAGCCATCTCAGCATGCACCTTGGTGCGTAAGGAGGTACGAGCCACACTGATCAGTGTGTCTCTGTCCATCTCCCGAGCCACCTTCACTTCATCTAGGATCTTCAAGGCCTTAGCTTTGGCCAGCTCAAAGCCTTCTGTCACAATGCGAGGATGCAGACCCTGTACATGACACAGAAGGTGATCGGGAAGTGTACTGAGGATAGGTGCATTTTTTAACATTCGTTTCTTGCAACATGAGAATATTAATTGTCATACTGGGACTTCACAGGAAAACCTTCTGACTAGGATGCTTCAGCTTTATTCAGTTTTCGACTTTGGATTTTTTATTTTAATTTTTCTGGGGTGAAACTGTTAATATTTTTGTCTGAAAAATAAGTGAGCTCATAAGTCAGATGTCTTACAGGTTTTTTCAACAAGTTCCAGATCTGTTGACAAGATATAACAGATTTGTATTGATTAGGATACAGTACCTCTGATATGTAGAGATCTGCCTGCTTAAGAAGTTCCCCGATGATGAGAACGTTGGATGTTGTCCCATCTCCTGTGATGTCATCTTGGGCAGTGGCCACTTTAGCAATCATGGATGCCGTGGGATGTTGAATTTGCTGTGAGATAGAGAGAAGTTTCCAGAAAAAGAAAAAAGACAATGTTTCCCTGAAAAAAAAAACCTGAAGAAAAGTGAAGTATGGTTCTTTCTAAACGGGAAACTCTTTGATAGACTGGCCCCATGGCTTGTGGAAGTAATGTGGGGCTTGGTGCAATATATTTTGTTCTCAAACATTTCATATATGTGGTAGTCTTGTAGGCCTCATCAAGCATTGGAATGGTAGTTTCATATACCAGTCTACACATCGGTACATGCAAGGTTATGCCAGCCTACGAAAATGTCCAATCCCGTGGAAGTATGTTTGTTCTGAGTTGCCACACCGACTATTCATCACTGTTTTTAAGAACGACTCCGAAGAAAATTATACAAAAATAAAATTTCCTTAACCATCATTGTGCCTACTGCATTCTTGTCTGTTTTAGGACCTCATATGAGTTTGGCAAGAGGTTCAAATCTGGTCACAATGTATTCGCCACCAACAGATTTGACGTCATCTCAAATCATCATTTACGACAAGATCTTTCAGCTTGAGAAAAACTAAAAGTGTCTGAGGAAAAGTTGTTCTTAAGTAATATTTCAAAAACTTGGCAGTTGAAAACTTCAAGGATCATGGTGAAAATATACAGAACTCTTTCCTTCAGTCTAAAATGCTTACACTTCTGCATGATTATCTTACCATTTCGTGAAGAAGGACATTGCCATCCTTGGTCAGCTTGATATCACCACTTCCAGATACCAGCCTAAGGTTCAATGATCAACACGGCTTTTTTTAATATTAGGAGTTCTGCCCTTCACACTTTTACCAGATTTGGATTAGATCAGAAATTGGGCCCTTTGCCACTTCAACCATTTTGTAAGGGGAGGGGCAGCGATGTCGGGGGCACACGATACACGCTGCGTTGTCAAGCTAGCGATTTAAAATGTTTGAACAAATTTGTACTTCAGGGAATGATAATATTTTGTGAAGATATGGTTGTGAAGTTGTGAGACTACTAGAGTTTCTGTTTTCCATACAATTCAGGGATTTATTTATTGCAAAATGGTCAAGCCGATGTGTGATCAGTGTGGTTCCCTGACCACAGATTTCCGACATCTCTATACCCCTACGTGCCTCTCTTTACCCAGGAGTAAATGGGTACCTGTAAGGGGAGATTTGGTTATGTTAGCCATGTGCGCCTGATAGGGTAGCATCAGCTAGTACGCTCCTAAGGGAGCTGAGATGGTTTCAGGAATGTTCAGTTGTTGTGAGCCCAATGTGTAGGGATAATGATAATGCTGCGCCTTGAGCACCCAGCAGGGTGGATACATGCGCAATATAAATCGGAATTATTATTAAATAATCTTAGCGGGAGTAGTTGGAATTATGGGACTGGAATCCAAAGCAACATACATGTAGATGTTTGTTACGGGCATACGCTGCGCCTGTTTTTGTCACGTGATGTACGGCCACAGAAAATGCAGACGTGTGCAGATCGAGGGATGAGAGGGAAGGATGGTAGAAAGAACCTCATTTTTGGCCAATAATATAGGTTAAACGCTACAAAATACAAGCGATAATGATAGTTCTATATGTTAGCTATTATTAATAGGGTCTTTAGGGGAAGATTTGCTAAAGCAAGCGCTAACAGATGTGTTATCTGGTAGGCAGACTGGGCAGCTTTCAAAATACCATAATGTACAGAACCATAAAAAAGATCGCCCCGGTAAGGTCTACGGAATAGTACCTTACCATTCCGGAAGTAACTACTGCCCAACCATGTCCAAATGTGGGTCTTACTAATTACCGTCAACACATGATAGTAATGTCAACACAGCATCAATTTCCCCAAAATACAACTTTATCCACAAAAGAGGAAAGAAGTGTAATACTTGGGCTGAAAGAGACTTTCCAGTAGTTGGAGGTCACAAATCAATTTGCAAAATGGATTTTTTTCACATGAAAACAAAAAAATCTCAGCAGCGTAGCTGTTTGCCGCCATCTTGCCTCCTCATGGAGCTTGGACTGTACTATTTAGGTGTGGATATGCTGCGCAATAAATTAAATACTTTTTAAGAGAGTAAAATTCGATATTGCAGAAACAACATCATACTTAGATTTTATTTAACACAGTTATTGTCAAAATACAAAAAGGGACAATCATTCAATCTTAACCCTAACCCTCCTCAATCCTCCAACAGGTGAAGGATTCAGGAGGGTTAGGGTTAAGAAAAATACAAATATAGTAACTCTAAAGGAAAAAGCGTTGTATCTTTATCATATAATATCACCACCTCTCTAGCAAAATGGTATGGTCCCAGTTGCCCCAGAGGCAGCATGGCGGCTGATTTCTGAGCTGTTTGAAGGAGGCGATTCGGCCAAATTGAAACGCAAATTTTCCCGAGTCTAACCTGTTGCAGTATAGGCAAATTATCCTTTCAGCAAATGCATTATGGTCGAGTTATGCTTCTTTTGATTTTTAACATTTTTTGGAGGGTGTTGATGCTGTGTTGACAGTCCATTGCATTTTGACGGTAATAAGTATAACTGCCAAATGTTTCAAAAGGCAATTTGTAGGGTCCAAGTTACTATGACTAGGCAGACACTAAAGTTGGGGTGTAACGTTATCATGACATGCCATAGCTTAAGGCCCTAAGCCTTTTTGCTACCACATGGATGATTTTGCACAACTGTGGAAAGGCATTGTGGGAAGGGAAAAGGGGGATTGTTTGCTCCTGTTCCTTCCCATAATGCCTTTATTACTATTGTGCAAAATCACTCTTGCAGTATCGACAAGGCTTATGACTCTATGTACATCACATGTAGGCCTAGGGCCCAACATGACCTACAATATATGCACAAAAAAAAGGATCAATTTTAATTCATTGTGAGAGGCATAAAGTATTGTCAGTAACTTATGTTAGGCCTCAATCACGTTTACATCATACATGTACTTTTCCCCTTTCAAAGGCCTACATGTACATCATGATTAACGTTAATCATGTTAAAATTCATGAAATTGTTGTAACAAAGAAAAGTCACCTGTGAGTTTCAGGTGACTACTCATTGCCACTTACATTTTTATGGTACCCTTGGGTCCTAAATTTGTTCGCAAGACATCCTGCAGTCCCTTGGCGGCACTGGTGTTGATAGCTAGAGCTTGGGCCGCCCTGGCAATTTCGGCTTTCGGATTCAACTCCTTGATGGCTGCCATGTTTGCTAAAAACAGACCGCATGGTTTTTACACTGGTAACCCAAGGAAAATACAGGATTTCGAAGCCATAGCGGGTACCAATACATAAGTAATCCTTCTAGAAAGTTCCCTTATTTTGGACAGAAGAGGGCGGCATGCCAAATTCACTTGGGAAGTTATATATTATTACTATTATTTATTTGGCCCTTGACAAGAACACATAACTAACAAGGAACAGTCTAACATAAAATTAAAATTCACTAAACATGACAAAAACAAGACAACTCAGTCTGAGCTGGCTAGGATTGATCAAAGTACACCTAAAGTAACACTGTGGCTCGAAAGCCTGTCAATTCAAGTCTGTCAATCAAGTTAATTTTTTTCTTCCCGTTTTCTCAGTGAACTTGTAGGTGCTCGCTTGTTTTCCTCTTGAAAACCTCCGCGAGAGAATATAACTAAGAGGTTTCGATGATGAGGGTATTTTCTTTCGGGTATCCCACTGACAGCTGTACAACTGGTCAAATATCTTTGTGTTTTATTCCTCCATGCTTGGAGTCACTCTGAATGCTCATTTCGTCTGCAAATGGCACACTTGCTCTCATCGAAGCCATCGCTTTCAACTCTTCCACTTCAGCAAAACTTCCACTGTACAAAGCTCTCGTTCTTCCCATATTGGAGTATGGTGTACCTGCCTTGCTCCCTCAGACAAGAAACAGGTTGACAATTTGGAGAAAGTCCAAAAACGTGTGACTCGTTTTATTTTTGGCCAAAAGCGTGGTGTGATGAGTTAACCTGATGGGTTAAAAAATCTGGCTTGGCCTGACTTATCTTGTCGGCATCGTATTTATGTTGTTCTCTCGTTTGTTTCCAAGTCTCTGTTCAATATTGTTGGTGGTAAATCAATGTGTTTACAATGTTTCTGATAATTCCCGCCATGTTCACGATATTTTGTTTCAGCACCGGCAAACTAGGACCAAATCCCTGCATGTATCTTGTTTCCATGCTTAATTAGTTCCCTCGTCTTTGTTCAACTCTCCCTGAACACGTTCGCATTGCTTTGCAGCTTTTTTCAACGTTTCTTCCCACTTTTCGAAACAGTGTTCTCTTTTCATAAATCCCAACCCCGCATTTATGTTGCATGTACATGTAAGGCTTATATCCTCTCTGCCAATTGTCAACTACATTTTATCTGATTGGTCGTATATATTTATATACATCTCTTCTCTTCTGCATGTATTTTTGATTTATCGTGTCTTTATTGCTAACTCCATAATTACTTAATTCAATCAATTTTCCCCCTTTCATTTCTACTTTTACTCATTTCCAGTGAGTCATCTCCTTTTATGCAGAAATATTCATACGTTCTAATGTATTTTATTTTATATATTCTTACTTATATTTATGTATTTACTTTACACTTACCTTGATGAGGAGCAGCAGGTCTTCTCATTTTAAGTACTATTTCAGCCTCCTGTTTGCCAATTATCCTTTAGACTTTCATTACATTTATCGTACACCTACCTACTGTTTTCTTACACATGTATTATTTTGTATTTTAAACTATTCATTATGTCCTTATTTATTGTGTTAGTATCATTAATTGCTTATTAATTAACTTATTTAATTTCATATTTAATGCTTACATTATCTTTATACATTTCCAGTAATTCCTTTTCTTTTATATTTGAAAATTTTTAAGTTCTAACTTTTGGCTTCAAATACTTTTATACACATGTATTAGTATTTTTATTTCAATTTATTTATTATTATCTATACACAACTTGATGTGGAGTGGCAGGTCTTTGACCACAGGGATTGTTATCGCGTTTGCCTCTCCAATGCCCATCTAGATGCATCTTGTATGTGATGAAAAAAGAATTGGCATGAATAAATAATAATAAGGAATACTAGCGAAGTTCACGAAATCCCTTCAACAGAGATGACAGCTTTTCAATGTGATAACAATACGCAGGTGACTTAAAATTACATGTATGTGTGACCCAGGACACCCCACGTTTCCAAGCCCTTTTCAAGAGCGGAACCAAATTTTCGGGAGGAGGTGGATTTTGGGGGGGTAGAGAACAATTTCTTTATATTATGAATTTTCACAAGCTTGCATAGTTAAAGAAAGCAAATTTAACTTTCTCTTGTTAAATTAAAAACAAACACACAACAAACGTAAAATTGCCCCCCCAGGGGGGGCACACACTTCCCCTTCCCCTTGGATCTACCGAAGCCCGTATTCAAATTTCTTATTTTGGTCTGCCTTCCAGTCTGCTCAAGTACCTTAGAATTCATGTGATGTAAGTTATTTTTGTTTTGCCCTTTGTTTTGAGCCTCTGGCGTTTATTCCTGAAGTACAGATGAGGCCATAAAATGATACACGGTTAAAAAAACAAATTGTGAAACAAGCGCAACACATACCAGTGAAAAAACGTGAATAATTATGCACAGCGGCGCCGCATTAACTAACAACTCGCGTTTCCTCCGACGCGGTTACATTGATTTTAGATTAACAAAGCAAGTCACAGACTGCAGAAATCGGGAAGGGCAATAAAGTAACGGAACACGTAGCGACACTTCTGTTGTGCCTGGCATTAATTCTTCTAAATGTAACATAAGGCCTCTCGACACATGACACCTGAAAAGCAGTCGTAGAGTTTTTCTATCAAACCTAGACACTTTCCAAGGATTTTCTCAAATCTTTAAAACTCGTTTTCCTCCAATAAGTATCTTTCTCATCTTTTATGTCCAATTTTTGAATTTTATTTTCACTCACACTTTCAGATATTTTGTCTATTATCAATTTTGTGCCTTGTTGGACAAGGAGATCAGAAGGTAATTACCTTTGGGAAAGGCACTGATTATCAAAACACGTCAATGGTATGAATTTTTTAACCAAAAAGCTGATAATGGTGGACATTTTTTAGGTCAGCAGTTGGTAAAAGAAGACTCGACGAAGCGTAGCTTTTGATGTAGCATCCAATTTTAGTGCTGCCATCTCATCGATTTTCTGCAGGCCCAATCAAAATTTTCACTGCTTGATTTGCTTCTCTTTCGCTTTGCAATTTTTCCAAGTCCAACCACTCCACACGAACGCCGTCCGCTGTGGCTACTGTTCACTTTCAGTTTGACTACATATTGCACGTAGTTTACATAAGCTTCCTTCCTCCATGTTTTCCTCCACAATAAAATTTCCATTGCCACATTTGTCTATATTGGGTATTGAAAAATTAAGGGGAAGGTAACCTGAGAACGAGGATAATTAGTATTGTTTTGCTCAGGTTGGACATACTGAATCTTGGAATTGCTCCCGGAAATATGGGACGATTTAATGCCTATATCTCTATATATGCGGGTTCCTCTCAAAGTGAGCAAAGAGCTAGGTAGGTGCATTGAACTGCATTATTACGGATGCTCTACGCGTATCTGGAGTTAGTGCGGATTGAAGGGCTCCCAAGCTCCGGCATATTTTCTATTGATTTTCTCATCTTTAGAACCCGTGACACCCCCCTCCAACGGAGAATTTCTAAAGTTTTGGTTTATTAGTTAAAAAAAGCCTAAGACATGTATTTGGGCCTGAGCCGATGTCCCACTTGATCGGGGAGTGCCCTAGCACAGACGAGTTTGACTGTTCAGTTGATTGATCGATCGATTTCTGATCGATTTACTGATGACGGATATGGTTGAAATTTAATTGTTTCGGGGGCTCGCGTGGTTTATATTTTGTCAGATATTAAAATGAAGTCGTCTGTGAATGGTTTTATGAAAGGACAAGGAATGATTCCAGGACCGTAGACTAGATGAAGTGAACTGAAGTAGGCGTAATATCATCACACCGTTTTCATCACACAAAAAGTGATCAGCCGCAGATAGATTTATTCCATTTGCACCAAACTATTTCATCAGATAAAAAGTTATCAGTAGTAAAGCAATGAGATCAGACGCCGAAAAATCCATCGGTCATGCCCGTGAGTTCAAGGAAATATCACACGAGTTCTTCCACGTGGTATCCTCCAAAATGACGTAACCTTCATTATTTGTCGTAGGGATGACTCGACTACAGGCGCGACGATGCCATCAGCTGGCTGACGCATGATGTAATTGCCATCACGAATGGGCGTGGAAAAACGCATAGTTAGGCTCTTCAGGGAACCCAGGCTTACGTTAACAGGACTGTGCGTACAAATTGGGCGATATCTGGCCTTCGTGAAATTGCACTCGTTCAGCTTGCACGCTGGAATTTGTTACACACTTCTATTTTTTGAAGCTCTATGCGTAAGATACATGTACATGACTACCGAAGACGTCAATTTGTAATTTTTTCTGCGCATTTCGATAGTGTACCCTGAAGATCTCCCTGACATATTTTAGCAGGTAATCTTTAGATTTTGAGGGGAATTTATCTTGAACTTGCTGCCCAAGACTTTTCTTAATCTTGAGTCACCGAGTGGTGACACGGGCGGTAGGCCTGTGCGGTGCACTTACTAGTGGTAGTACTACTACGGAGTCACCGACGCGTCGTTTTTTCAGGCCTTTGGGGGGGGGCGGACGTCCAAGATATTGGTGTTGATCTTGATTGGTAAAGCATTAGCAGACAAGCTCCTGCTGGAACATCAGTCAGCTTGGAAGGGGTGGACAAGCTATTCTTTCAGTGTACGTGTATTTTATGACTCATGAGTGTGGGTAGCTCTACTGAGTGGAGCATTAGTACCAGGCCTATTCCTCTTTTTATGATTTTGGACGGGATCGTCATACTAACGCTCCACGTCTGTACATACAGTAAGGTGAAAACGGTTCTCAAAAATTCCCAAGACTCACCAAAAATACCTCTATCACCACCTACTGGCTTCCGTAAATGCCAACATCAAACGGTTGGGGCTTCAATTATATTTCTGACTTCTGTTAAAATCTGACCGTTTTCACTCAACACGCACGGCACTTAAACTTCTCGCCGCCTCCTCCCATTCAAATAGGGACTCTATGTACAGGCGTGGAGCGTTACGAAGACGATCCTGTCCAAAATCATAAAAAGAAGAATACTAACGCTCCACTCAGTAAAGCTTGATTGTTGGCTGTCACTGAATTATTTCATCTTACCATCCATCATGTCCATGCTCAGTCTTATCCTGTCACTTAATTATCAGTCGTAATATCCTGAGCCTGGACAGGGTAGTCCGAGTAACTTGGCCACTACAAATTACCTTCTTTAACATTTGGATATAGTCGTGATAGTAGGGTCCAATTACATGTACCTTCCAGTGTAAAAATATAACGAATCAGTAGCACTTTAATGACTAACTATTAAAGTAAAACTCCTTCCAATGTACAGTCATTTGCAAAATTTTAGGACCACCCATAGAAAATGCATTAACCTGAAGGAAAACCAAACTTAAACCAATCAATCATGGCAACTTATGTTTATTTTCAATGTGTAACCTTGGTACCTTGGTTGAACATTTCTGACCACATTTCCATGATTTGACATGTTAGCAGTCTAATATTCAGTGTTCCCTCCTTTATTTCTGATTGCTTAGACTGGCTTTTATTTACCCATGCTGCCTTGCAGACAAAATGTCATACAAGACCTACCTTTGCAAAAACTTTCATTCAAATGGGTATACAGCACTACACTGATGTCATGCACCACTGTAAAATCATGTTAAGTAATCATTCAGTGAGACAGTGTAATGCAGGCCCAGTGACAAAAATACCAATAAAACTCAAGGTGGTCTTAAAGTTTTGCAAATTACTGTATGCTAATATCCTGGAGACAAAGTCATGGTGTGCTGGCCTAGCTCTGGCAGACCATTCACAAAAAGCATGCATTATTGGTACACTCGCACTGACAACTGATTCCTGAGCACTGTAAGTGTAATGTACTTGTATGGCCGGTAGCTGTGATCACATCAAACTGTACATCGGACATGGGGCGTTCAGGGATCAGTCGTCGGTGTGCATGTGTCAATGTTATGCCCCAACTAAAGTATCAGTCCCAACTATAGTTGGGCCCGTCCCAACTAGAGTGCTCGAGTGCTTGATCCTAAGTCGGGTGCATTAGACAGTTTAAGGACCATTTTGGAACGGAATGTGGAAGATTTTGATTGGGGGTACGAGTAATTTGGAATGAAATGAATGAATGGAAGCAAAGGTCTGTACATGTACTTGGACTCTACTATCGCCCGACCATATCCAAATGTTACAAAAAAGTCAATTTGTAATGTCCAAGTTACTCGGAGTAGGGCAGGGGAGTTCATGGAGGTCATTCCAGTCATGGTTGGTCATGCAAGTGGTCTGATCATGGACTGTTTGATGAAAGAATGAATTTTGGACTCCTTTAATATTGGTGATCCAGGCATTTTGTTTAATCATAGAGCAAGGACATCTTATCATGTAATCAGTTAGGCCACATGTAGGCCTTGGCTCTACCCCCAGAATTGTGGGGTTCATCGTCCGCTGTTCCGTGGGAGTGTGGCGGACGGGTGGACACCACCTTTCTGTCATGTCAAGTTAGTTACTACATTTACTGTTCTTACGTCTAGAAACTAAAACTTGATGCACCCATACATGTACTGGTACACTGTAGTTCTAGCACAGTCCCTGACATGCCTTCAAGTCACTTTTGGAGCTCTTAATCGGAATGCTGAGGCCATATGGGATTTTGAATCCAGCTTGAATTGGATATGTTGGGCACGATCAGTCGGTCTGAGTGATTGGTCCATAATTTGTCCGTAATTCCACCATTAGCTGGGCGTCTTTTCTTTCTAACTTACTGTATAACCATTGAGAAAAGTTACATGTATTTAATTTAAGATATGCAGTTGCTATAGTGACAGTAATTGTAACGAGACTTTCAAATTCTATAGTTACGTCATTGTATCTGTGCAAGATGGCATGTTCATTGATAAACGATTGATTGAACTGACACAAAACCAATCCATGCTTTCATGTATGTATGTACAATTACGGTATTTTAACCATGCAAGTGTGATGAGTACAGCACTTGTGAAATGACAAAACTCTTGATTCATCGGGCTGCTGTATCGGTGATGTGCGTGTGGCCATGGATGATACAGCATTACGGAGAGTTGAATAGAGAAAGTTCAGTTCATGGGAGTGTGACGTCATTTTGAACTAGGAAGTGCAATGCAAATGAATGATTTATGTGCGCGTGTTGGTTTACGCACTGGTTCTTGTGCTTATGTCGTTTACACACAAAATTATGCGTACATGTACAATGTACACATCTGACACTCTCCAGTACTCTGTAGACCTTTTCACCCACATGACTAAATGTAAACAATACAACCATGTGTGGACCACCTTGGCCACGGTGATCGCATGTATACCTACATGTACATGTACATGTACATGTATGGGCAGCTTGAACCACCACTGACCACGTGCAAGCACTGCATGCTTGACTAGTCTATCTTGAATAGGTAGATTACCATCACAATACTATGCACTCATTTCCATCACAACACATCATAGGTCCAGCACGATCGTGACATCACAAGAAAAAGGTCTGTTGGAATAGGGAAGTAAATTTAGAGACTTCATACAAGGTCTACATATGTACATATACAAATCGTGCAGAGTGATTGGGTAGTCGTATACATGTAGATCTGCCAAGTACTCCCAACAGATATATTTGAGAAACGTTTGCAAAAACGTTTCCATACTGTTTAAATGTTAAAGTGTTTAACCAACACTTTAAAGAGGCCTCGCCGCTTGCCTTGGTGTTAACATTTGTCACATGGACAGACTATTAAACTTCAGCTAAAATGAACACTGTGTAAGTTTTTCTAAATGAGTAACGTTTATCACATGGACAGACATACTGTAACGTTTATCACATGGACAGACATACTGTAACGTTTATCACATGGACAGACATACTGTAACGTTTATCACATCCATGTATCATAACCTGGGGACAGACAGTCTTCTCATTTTCATTTCAGCAAAATGAACTGACTTTTTCTAATGTATTGTTCGTTATTTTATTTAATTTGGTTTTGTAATAAATGTACATGTACTCATAAGATAAGTCTTCTAAGATTTTTACGTTTAGAGGGACAAAATGGTTGTGATAAATGTTACAAAATAGTGAGCAGACATTTGCAATTCCTAAAGTCATATCTTAGTTTTGTCATCTGATAGCAAAAATAACCACAAATATGGTGTACTGTAAACTACATGTATTATTGTAAAAACTTTTCTCAGGAAGATATGTTTTTGTTCAGGTTATCTGCTCAAGGAATGGCAAAATCAGCCTGTTTCATGTTTGTCACTTTGTGGACAGACACCTTGATGTACGTTATTTCCTAATTAGCTCTCCTTAAGTAAATTCCGGATTAAGATAACTTAAAGAAATAGAAAGCCATAGATTTTGACACATTTCTCAAATGTTATACTTGTAGCACCCATGTTTTAATCAACATATGAATTGCTTTTCTCTATAAGAGTGGTATTTTGGATAACCTGAAAAACATGAGCTGACACAGTTATACATGTGCATGTCCTACCAGAACCCCTAATATGCAGTTGTAAATGTAAGCTGGACATTTTCATCAAGATCCTGATAACAATGAACAACCAAATCCTATTAAACTGTGTAAACTTTATCTCCACAATTATACATACATGTATATCAGTGAAATTGTTAAAGTTCATTTCTTGACTCTCAACACTGTTAATGAAAGAAAGAGATGATTTTGGTTAAGATGTGCAAATGTATCTGTTAGTGTGGACAGACCCACATGTACATTGATATATTCCCATTCTTGCAGTGATTCACACAATCCCATCATTCTTTGACATACAATATACGTGTACATGTACATTGTACATTTATGTGTGTATTCACATGGTTTTACAGGGGTGTGAGAATTCAGCTTTTCAGCTGATTTCAGAGTTTTTGTTTAGATATTGACCCAGTCTTTCAGCTGTTTTGTACACCTTGTCTCTGTGCTACATGTACATGTAGCTGTTTTCAGCTTTGATTTGAACTGGCCACACCCCTTGTTTTATTAACTCAGTGGGTGCCTGCATTATTTCACAGCAGTTTGGCTTGAATTGTTTACATTTACACGGGGAACACATTCAGTGTGATGTTTTTGTTATAGTCATTTTTTTTTTTAGCTTATGGCAACCTGCGTGCATCAGTGGGACAAGTTAACATTTGGCTGTTTCTGTAAAATTGATGTTTTGCAAGAAAGGTACGTTACTTACAGACCGGTATACGTGTATACATGGTATATGTGTGTGGAAGTTTCATTTTCATAAAAATTGGTATGAAAATGGATGTGTGACAGTAGTAGGAAAACTACCAAAGGTTGGAAATGTAAGAAAAAATGCATTCGCTACATCAG